GTGGAGTAGCGGGGTTATTGGGGTTATTTAAGATTGTTATGGGGTGGACACGCATCGTGCACTAGGAGATAAAATAAGTTGTAGAATGAACACTTGGAAGAACAAGAATGAGATGGAAGTATGTTGTGGCGGTGAAGGGTGCATGAGAATATCTGAGGACCGCACCCAATATCGGTCTTCTTTGAACGCGGTACCAAAACTTTTGTTCTTTAAGTGGATCATCTCAGTGATGAAGAATGGTTGCGGTCCGTTTAGCCAAGATCGAGAACATTTATTTATTTTTATTTAGTGTTCTGTCTGACGACAGGTCCATATGAACAGGATCCTTCCATCCTTTTCTCGGACTGGGACCTGTTCATATACGTTCTTGGCAGATGATCCAGAAGTGGTTTGCCATTGCCTTCTTCTGTGTGTGAATGGAGTAATTGTTGGGATGCCACGGAGGAAAACTCCGTGTTGCCTAGACCACGGCCTTGCCCAACACAAGTTATAAATTCGGGCACCGCCGGGAATCGAACCCGAGACCCCCAGGATTACAAGGCCAGCGTTTTAACCGCTAGACCACCGTGGCTTCTCGAGAACATTACAGAGATGTTTCTGCCGGGGATCTGGTCCAGGGTACGGGAGTATTCTCGTGTACCGAGGTATTTGAAAAAGCACAAGAGACTGAAGAACACGTTTCCACCCCCACTCCCCCCCACACCAGTTTTACAGCAGGTGCTGAATATTTCTGCGCTGGTAAAACGATGGAACGTGTCCTGAGGACGAAGATAAAGTCTCCTGCTGTGAAGCCAAGGATTTGATAAGTTGCTTCGCCCTTGCAGAACGAGTTTTTAGTTAAATCTTGATATTTTTACCTCGCTAGCATTTCGCATGCACGGATCTTTCCAAAAGCAGCGCCTGCAAAGTACAGTCAGTAGCAAAAGTAGGATTTTATTTTGGGAGGTATTTTAAAACACAAATTTAAATCAAGACGTTCTGAAGGGTGGGGGGGACTTAACATTGTACAAAGGTCGATTTCTTTTCTAGTATTCAGTCCACTGATTCTCTGAAACCTTAACTCTTCCAAATGGCATTTAAGAATTTAGTCCGTACCGCAAAGAAAACGCAGTATCAAAAGGAACGGTCTTATGTCTAGGAGACTAATAAAGCCATGAGCCTATTAAGATAATAAAAATTAATAAATTAAGAATGGGTCTACACGCAGTACTGAATATTCAAAATAGTTTTTGCTCCCGTCAGGAAAATTATGAGATGTTATGTGTGCCCTTTTTTTCGTAAGTCTTTAATTAGCCTGTTTTAGGGTCAGATGCTTCGACAGGCTTAAATGATGATACCGTAGCTTCTTACAAAGTTTATTTATTTCTTTTCAAAAAGAAATCAAAAGCGAACCCCCACAGCTACTTTCAAAAACTTCTACTTCCAATTAGAATCCAGTCGTATTTTGTTCAAAAACGGCACAAGGGACTCAGTGCCAACCCACGGGGAGGGCACAATCATTTCACAAAAGCGAATGAAACTTTGATCAAGATGAAGGAAACAAAATTTCGAGCAAAAATTTCATGGGGAAACCGGTTGTAAAGTGGTCAGTTTTGAGGATCAAAATGGAGGTGGTGTGATTGCCTTGTTTATAGAACTTTCCTTAAATTACAGAGTTTAGTATAAAATTGGGCTGAGAAGGTGATCATGAATGGTGGGTGGATAAGTTTACTTAAGACAGCTTGTAATCCGGTTACGATTCGAGGCGGACAATTTCTCGAACGTATCTATAAAGAATTCTACAATTTTCTTAGTCAGATTGGAGGATAATATTAAAATGGATCAAACACAGTCAGAATTTTTGTGCAGTGGCGTTGACAAAGTTGTTAAAAATACAGAAGAATTACTACGACGATTATAAGGGATAACTGAGGTTTGCAGTTAACCTGTGATGGTGCAACGGGACTGTTCGGGTAATGTGTGGAAATGTCGTGGCGGAATTGATGGAGGGCGTGGAAAATTGCCTGGCTAACTGAATGGCGCTCTTACTCTGATTTACATGGGCCATTGCACTTTAATTAATTACACAGCTTTAATGCAATCGTTAATGGAAATTTTATAATCCGTAGGAACCAGTAATATAAAAAAAAAGAGTCAGACTGTGGACACGACTACTGCATGTAAAACGCCACTGATTGGTCATTTTCTGTGGATACTGCACTCTTAAACTTTTACTGTTTTGTATACAGAATTATAAAATAAAATCCGGTAAAATTTAATTGGCTTGTTGCATTTTTTTTTTAGAACAAGAACGCTGTTTATAGCCGATATTTTCAGCAATGATAGTACGACCGTCACAGTTCCTTTTCTATATTGTGTTGAATAGTGAAACAGCTGATAACTGAAATCCACATTTTCTATTTCTGCATTTAAATTCGGTAACAAAATCCAAGTATGAACACTAGCTTCGGATTTTCGTTTTTGAATATTAAATATTCGTCTCCCATGTTTGGTCACCCCTACTCCCTGTAGCACCTATAGCATATAGCAGCAGACGGAACACCCAAACATCGATTTTATGTGTGTCCTTCCCCTCCTCCATCCGCTTCCCACTTCGATGTCATGTCTCACACGATAATGCGGAAAAAAATTACGAATTTCTTCTCTCCCCCCCCCCCCCCCCGGGC